AGCTTTGAGATACATGAATACTAAAAAAAGATGCACAAAAATTTAGATCCAAAAACCCCTTTAGGTGAACAGAAGGGATCTCTAATTACACAAAGGATTTTTTGATTTCCTTCAAATGCTTCCACAGTGGCTACTCCCATTCTGGAGGGTCCTTCAACTCTCAGACAAGAGAGGCTGCAGACAAAAGAGTTGGCAGAAAAATCTCACCTTAAGTTCAGACCTCTGCTTGCAAGTCAATGAATCCAAATTGATAGGTTTGTTATTGTGGGGTCTATGAGAGTGGTATAATCCTCAAATAACCCACTGGCCATGTTCACATGACATGACAAGCCACAGCAATGCTCCTGGTAGAGAGCTATATATCCAAACTGGTGACCACCACACAGTGTAATGCCTCATGAGTAAATTAACCCAAGATGAGCTGTCATAATGGCCCATTAAAAAGGACTGACATGGTTGATCATTATATTTCAGCTTTAATGCCCAGAAAGGCTTTTTGCTACCTGCTACTGGGAATGATACTGCTATCTTTTAAATGCACAAAGAACATGGTCAAAGCAGTACATAACACTAAGCCTAAAAGATTTAGTGAAGGTCGATATTAATGTTTAAATTAACCTTCCAGCAAGAAAAAAAGAGTTCAGTAGAGTGAAAGAATGACAGAAGCAGCAGAACATGTATTTAACTCAAGACAGTTACTCAAAATGAAAAGAATCAGTGTTTAATAATTAAAGAGTAGGAGATAAGAGATGGAACACAGAAAGGTTCTACTTATTTGAATAGCTAATGGTTTATATTTGATAGGCCAGATATTGCTTCAAAATCTTTTAAACCACCATTTTCACTGGCATATACAAAGAATGACCTGTAGCACTGGTCGAACACCATGCTGCAGCTTCTACATGGTGTATGACTCAACCATAACAGTAATGTAATTGCACCCCATGTGATCCTCATTTCTTAATATGCTATCTCACTTTCTTCTGTTGTTTATCAGGCTTGTTAACTATTTGTTGCTTCATATTTGATACCTTAGATTCAATATGGTCATTTCTTTTCTGACATCAAAGATGGCTGAAGCCAAATACTTTGCTTTGTAGGGGAAGAAGCTCAATGGAATCAAGTTTGACAAATATGCCCATCTCTAGTGAAAAGATGTAGCATCTGTAGGGATTTGACCCACTTCTTCTATAAAAGAACCTTGAAAGTTTGCAGAATCATATTCTCATCCAGATGAAGAGGTGGAGCCAGAATCTAAAGCTGGTGGGGACCTAGAGACAAGGAAGGCAAGCAGGCAGACCGGCAGGCACTGAGATTCAGACAGTTCCAAATGTTGTGGAAGCGTTTAATGATATGGAGCAGGGAAGACTTATAATCATTAATCAAAAGACATGATGTCACATTAAGAGGGGATAACAGTTCAACAGCCTCAGGTGTTCCAATAAATTGACCTCTGAAGGTGTGGTTTGCTTTTATCAGTTTTGAAAGGGAGAGGGAGTATGCACTTTGGAAGTGTGCCTCTGCTCCATCTTGCTCTTCTGTACTGATTGAAAATGGGAAAGATACCATGTAATAGTAACAGCTTCTAGAGTAATTTGTATTAAAAATGAAGGTGGAAATGCCAGTTTTTGTAAAATAAAAAACAAAAATCAAACCCACATTACCCACAGGCTTTTGTTCTATCTTAAGACTTCTCAGGTCAGCTTGCTAAACCAACTGCAACAAACACTAATGGAAACGAACACTCATACCACATGGGTTGTAGCACTAACTGAACAGTAATCATTATGAAATGCTAAAGCACCTCAATGTGTAGTTCATTTTTATTTCTAAAATGAACAAAAAGTTACCAAAACATCACCCACAAGCCCCAGTCAACATGTCAATGCCCACCAATGATCGGAGTTATGGTCCAAAGCCTTTGTAGTGTACCAGATAAAGGGAGGCTGACCTAAACCTTCATTTTCACACCCCAGGAATGGAGTCCCAAATACTGATACCACCGTTAACCCAGAAGATGATTATATGGTTGCCTAAAGCTCAGAACCACTCCAGATGCAAGAATTTCTCAGACTTTAAAAGGGAAAAATCCATCTGAAGACTGTAAAATTGAATTTGGACTCAGTCTCCCATCAATATATTTCTTGCAAATAGTGCTGGATTTAAGATATAGGAGATATGCTTTCAAGTCCATAAACACATTGCTTTGTTTTTTATATAACTACTGTCTTTCAGACTTAGTTCCCTAACTGTAAAATAGAATTAGTGACCTGCTTCACAAAGTTGTTGAGAACAAAACAGAATCTGTAATGCATTGCATTTACATTTGTAAACTCAATATGCTATGAACTGCAATATGTAATACAAATGAAAACAACAGTAAATATATGACTATAGAAAAGAAAGCTATTTTCAAACTCACAACTGCAGTTTGGTTTTTGCCTCCTCATTTTGTACTTTCTGGTTACACAGTGCTCATTACTAAATGGAACGATACATAAAGGAGGGATCAATTAACCATCAAATCACAAGGATTGTTACTATGGAAATCTCACTGAATGGCAAAAGGAAGATTAGCACTTTAGAATAATAGTAATTTATGGTTGTGAGAGTTGGATCATAAGGAAGGCGGAGTGGCAAAGAATTGATGCCTTTGAACTGTGATGTTGGACTGCAAGGAGATCAAGTCAATCAAACCTAAAGGAAATCAACCCTGACTGCTTACTGGAAGGACAGACATTGAAGCTAAAGCTCAAATACTTTGGCCACCTAATGAGAAAAGAGGACACATTGGAGAAGACCCTGATGCTGGAAAGGACTGAAGGCAAAAGGAGAAGGGGACAACAGAGGATGAGATGGTTGGATAGTGTCATCGAAAGAAAGAACATGAATTTGAGCAAACTCCAGGAGCAGTGGAGGAAAGGGGGACTTGGCATGCTTTGGTCCATGGGGTCTTGAAGAGTTGGGTATGACTTAACTACTGAACAACAACACTGCTTTAGAATAGGATGTCTTAAACATAATATTCAAAACTAGAACTTTCAGAATGTAACCAAACAAGATAAATTCATAGTGAAAGCATTTTTACATGGACTATTGATAGTAACTCCATACCATTCAAATTAAATAGCACATAGCAGGTTTTTTTTTTTTTTTTGTATCTAAAATGATAGGGACTGTACTACTATATTAGGTATAACAATCTTCACTGAAAGGGCTACATTTTTGGCATAGTCTGGACTATTCCAGTGGCTTTGTTATGGCTCATTAACCCACTGTAAGGATATACATTCTCTGTATTGTAGTTAAAACAATTATTGACAATCATTTTGGAAACATCAACACTAGGCTTCCCCATGCTTGTGCCCTACTGGACTGCAACTCCTGCTATCCCGCAGTGGTTTGAGATCATGGGGGATGATGGGAGCACCAGGTTGCAGAAGGTAGAATTTATGTTTTCCCACTGTGTATGTTGTGAACTGCTCAGGAGACTTTGGTTATTAGGAAGTATAGTAATGTAGCAAATAATATATAGGTCATTTTAAAAACACTTTCACGTGCACAGTGGGCAGTATCCAATGTTGACAAACTCAAATAAAGCACTTGTAATTCTTCACTGAATCTTTCCATTATGCAAGCAGTTTCACAATAGGTTGAACAAGAACAAGTGAGTTTACATGTAGTATTCTTTTGCACATAGTTTAGAATCTAGCCTCCACTAGCAAAATGCTATTTGCATTAATAGAACGGCAGTTGATCCTACTCAATGTAATGTTGCTACAAATTCACCATAATCAAAGTTGAAGCATAACGCCCCTTAATGTTACTGCAGTCAACTAACAACACTAACCACAGTTATATCAACTAGTTATATCAATCTAAGATTGTGTTATAGTTGTAACTGTCAGTTATAGGTCAGTTATAGTTGTTTGGTTAAAACTCTGAGTTATTTAATTCTCAACAACATAACAGTACCAGGTTTGGGCATCATAACAGCGCAAGAACAGGGAATTCTTGGGTTGTTTCAGCAAGGTAAAGCAAAGTGCAAAGGACGCCACAGACATGCTCTTGTGTGTCTTTGCCAACTCATGGGTTGTTTCCCCCATGAACTGGTGTTACAGATGAATCAGAATTGTATGCAGAAAGCATTGGTTTTTCTCAAATACATACTGTGGTAGCTGTGCCTGAAAAAACAAAACCAACATAACAAAAATGCAACCTTAAATGTGCACCTTAAAATAGTAACAAATATACATTTGTTGTGGGGAAAAAAGGTTAACGTCAAATATTTGTTTAGCTCCTCAGTATGTTCCTATTCATCCCTTTTCTCTGAAAGATTAACAATTAGCTACTGGCAAAAGGTTTACAGGCTATTGTTTTAACTGGGCTGATATTTATAGAATTTCTTAATGTCACATGATAATAAGCTGTCAGTTTTAAGTAAGGATGCTCTTCCACCATCTATACTTTTTATATAGAAATTCTTCCAGAAGTTTCAAGGCCATGCTGTTTTTTTCTGATGTTTGATTCCCACACTAGCTTTTGGCAACTGATTGTGTTATGGCTATATCAAGACTCATAACCTACTCAACTGCTTTAGATTTCATCTGTTCAGATTTAGACTGAACTCAGTTGGAGTTAAACAGCAGAATATGTAGTACTGCAAGCTTAATTTCCTAGCTACTCACTACATCAAAAGTCAAAGCAAAGGCATAAAACCTTAGTGGAGAATGACAAATGTAAGCTACATTCTGAATACTTTCAGTTAGGTATAATTTACAACAAAAATGCCACAATCAGCTTTTTAGAATATATGCACAACTGCTTTCACAGAAGGATCAGGTTGGGTTTCATGATGTCTGTTATATAGGTGTTAGCTTTCAGAATAATGTAATGATGTATACTGAATTGTTTCTTCAAGGATAACAGCTATGTGAAGAACGTAAGGAAAAAGTAAACTCACACATTCTATGGGTAATTAAATATATATTTGAACTTACGGAAGTATTTCAGTGTCTCTTCTATTTGCTCAGTTGTTAAATCAATATTAGCATCAGGAGAAATGAGTGGAGTATGAAGCCAGTCGTCGTGGTCATAACCATAGATTGTATCAGCTCTTAACTTGTAGTGGGGCAGCTGCTCTTCCAGCAGGCTGATGATTTCAACTTCCGGAAGATCAGTACTGTTGCACACATCTAAGAGGATGGAAAGAAATTGGGTGATGACTTTTAAAATACAAAATAGGGCATTTGTGATTTAAGACAAGCCACATCAGCAAAATTCCATCCACTAAATTCCATCACCCCTGGAAAAAAAATCAATCTAATAAAAGGATAGAAATAAATTGATTATAAATGTTTAATGATGCATTTGACAATTAACTGCATACTTTGTCCCTCATAAATTGGACTTGACACCATACTAATACAGGAACCATTATGACCCTAGTGTTATAAATAACAGGTCTGCCCCTGAAGAAGCCTAGAGTGGAATCAGGGGTAGTTCTGGAGTCCAGAGCTACTACCCTCATACCAAATATATACTATATTAGGTTTAAATTCACAAATGTCAATGTTTGGATTTTTTAGGACTTGAAGACTCAAATTTCAATAATACAAGAAATTAATGAAGCTACTTAAAATAGATCAGACTGCTTTAATGAACAAAGATACACTTCTACATATACTCAATACTCTACCAGAGTAAATATTTGATTAAGGGATGCGCAATGTATTCAGCCACAAATACAAAACACTTGCACAGCAAAGTAGATCATGGTCAGTGTTATGCACATCTAAGATATATGACCTACCTGTTAATATAAAAACTAGCAAACAATTCTTTCAGTGTTTTGCTCCAAAACATATTTACTTACATATGAAATTAACAGGCTTTCTTCCAGGGAACCATGAATATCAGAACTTGCCAAATATTTGACTTTAATATCCATTCTTCAATTAAGAAAACCTGAGCTGAAATTTGCATATTTTAGCTATTTCTAGCATGTATGTTAGGCTCACTAGTAGTTTTGCTTTTACCTGTGTGCTTTCCATTTCTGACTGAAGAAAAGTATTGTTTACAATCGCTCACTCGCTCGCTCACACACACACACACCCTTGTTTTCAGGTAGCATTACAAAAATGAACTACTAACTTGGACTGTCTAGTAAGTATAGCCATCTCCCCTCCCCTCCTTTCCCCCGCAACATTCCTTCATTTCATTTCTACCAAATTCATGGTTTTTATCGCTCCTATCTCAGGACTGCAAGGACAGCAATCCACTTCATCCCTTATGACAAAACAATGCTTCTGGGAATAAGTGATCTCATTCCTAAGTGACTCAAGCAACCTCAAAAGGAGATAATTTACTGGAAACAGCTACAATTTGCCAGCTTGGAAAAAAGGACTGGGGCAATTATTACCCTCCACTGAACATTTTACTGTCTTACTCTAAAAGCTGCAAGTTTAAAAATCATCTCACTGAAGCCAGTTAAAACATAGAACCAAGGCTTGATACAGCTGTATTTTAAAACTATATTTACATACTGCTCATTTGAAACATTTTAAAGTTTTGGCAAAACAGTGAATAAACTCACCATATATACACATTAAGTATCAACATTAAATTTTATTTATTTATTTATTTATTTTTCGATTTATATCCTGCCTTTTTCCTACAAAGGGCTCAAGGCAGCTTACATCGTTCTCCTCCTCCATCTTACTCCCACAACAACAACCCTGTGAGGTAGGTTGGGCTGAGAGTCTGTGACTGGCCCAAAGTCACCCAGTTGGCTCCATGGCTGAGCGGGGACTAGAACCCAGATTGTCTGAGTCCCAGTCCTATGCTCTTAACCACTACACCACATCCACACTGTTAAGGATGTAACATTTAACCCTAGTGCGTCTAAACCTCACAGATGCTCTTACATACAGTAAAAATTGTACACTGCTGTCAAGTAAAAATGCAGTTGATTAGGTGTTATGCCAGAGAATGGTTTGATTTTAACAACAAATGAGTAGTAAATGAAGCTGAGATTAGGTGCAATGGTAACAGAAAAAGATAATGAGAATGAAATGGGTTATTAGTTTACTATAAATTGGGGAGGAAAACTGGAAGTTTCAAAGCTCAGCATGGGGAGGCTGGAGGAGGGACAGAATATAAATTAATTACATGGCACCTAAATGCTGTCTTTTCCTCCAAGGAGTCTAAGTGGCATACATGACACTTCCATTTTCTCCTCACAACAACCCTATGAGGTAGATAATGCTGAGTCAGTGAGTGGTCTAGACTGAGCTAGTGAGCTTCATGGCTGAGTGGAGACTTGAACCCAGGGCTCCTCAGTCCAACACCATTAGCCATTCCACATTGCATCCCATGGGTTGGGTGCTCTTCTGGATGTAGGTTGCTTCCACTCCACACAAACAAATCAGCCCCTCTTCTGGGGAAGACAACGGGGAGGACCGCTGTTGTGGGCATGTGGCGGGGGCCATGCAGCACTTCCTGCCCCTTTCCTGCTCATGCTGGGCTGGGAAGGGCCACCCCACACCTGCCCTCCCTGAACTAAACTGTAACTGTGCAAGGACTGAATGCCCCAATTAAGGAGCCTTCCAACTGCAAGTTGACAGGAAGGGCAATGCAAGCTATTCCACCCTCCAAGGAGAAATAGTATTTGCCTCACTCATTTTCTCCTGAGGCTGTGAATAATCAATTCCACCCTCTGAACCAGAGTGGCTTGATTTGTGAATGTTGTGAGGGAACTATTTATTAAACTGAGGCATCGGTTTGGGCCATCGTATAACTTTCAGTCAGATCTGAACTTCACACTTTCAAATCTAGGAACCACGGCCACAACCAACAGAATACTTTGGATCATGTTTGAAACTGTTGTCATGGTTCCTCCTGAGCACTGTGGGAATTTCAGTGAGAGTGCGAAATATTCTTTGCTAGTGAGCTTTAACCCTCTCCACAGAGCCATAATTCCCAGGTTTCTTGTTTGGGAGTCATGGAAGTCATAAAACAGTCTTGAAAATCAATGTAGGTTTCTATTTTAGGCATGGTAATAATGTATGATAGGAAATAAGAAAAAAGTTATTATAATGTAGAAATTCCAAAAGGTATCACTCAGTTTCCAGTGCTGTAGTTCTGGCACTTCAACACCAAGAGCACAATCCTATCACAGTGGTTCACTTCCAAAAAGCTAGGGATGTTAGCAGCACTCTTCTAGGGTGGGGTGAGCTAACCTGTGACCCTCCAGGGGGTTTGACCTATATTTCCCATCAGCCTCAGGCAATGCTAAGGGATAATAGGAGTTGTAAGCCAAAACATCCAGAAGGATACACATTACCACACACATTCCTGGGAAACATACAATCATAATTGTTTAAATGGTGGATATTTTATTACAGTAGACATAAACAACATTAGGAAAGCCTTGAACCACATTGTAAAATTTTCTGGATTCTCAAGAACTAGTGATTCACTGCTGTACTTTGGTCTTATAACTGCACCCTAGTCTCACACGTATGTCTGTTAGTTTCATAGCTTGTCAGACTTTGACATGCTTACATCTACTAGCTTCTTGCATAACTTAATTTTAGCCCAGTTACTATTACCTTAGTAAGAAAATCAGAGTCGCAGATTTGCTGAATGTAACAAAGACCTTTGCTGGTACTCACTATCACACATGCTCATAATCCCTATAAAGCTCACTGAAGCTTTTACCAGTCAATTTTTGCAACCCTCTGCCAGGTATGAGGTATATACATACAGTACTCTGGTGTCACAAGTCTCAGAGAAGGCTTTGTTGATTGAGACTGTTTTCTGCTGCTAATTTTTCAGCCTCAGAGAGGCCATGTGCAGATAACAGGTAAAGAAAAAAGTAGATTTGTCTTTTAGGAAACAGTATTTTTATTTCAAAAGATTCTTACTATTCAACAATAAAAAATAATAGCCTTAATGTAAGATTAACTAAACAATTAGTAAAAGATTAACTATAGGGATAATGACATACCAATTTTGTTAAATTGCATTTAACTGAGAGCCAGTGTGGTGCAGGGATTAGGAGTGTGGGACTGAGACTCAGGAGTTCTAGGTTCAAGTCCCTATTCAGCCATGGAGGTAACTAGATGACAGATTCTCAGTCCAATCTACCTCACAGGGTTGTTGTGAGGACAAGACTGAGAGGAAGAGGGGAATTATGTAAGCAGCCTAGAGTTCCTTAAAAGGAATAAAGGTGGGATAAATAAACAACATTTAGGATGCAATCCTATGCATGCTTACCTAGGAGTAAGTCCAGCTGATCTCAGTGTGTCTTCCGAGTAGACAATCAAAGGATTGGTCCATTAAACAGTTTTAATAATATTTAGACCACATGAATGTTACTTTAACTCATAGTATTGGTGAAATCACCTCATGTAACTATAAACACCAATTTTTCCATTTCTTTAATAGAAATGTGCCTTTGTTTTTCAAAAGTTGGCACACCATTTATCCTATAAAGAACAAAAATTAAACACCCCATATTTTGACCTTTACCTGTTTCAAACTTCTGTTTTTTGTTTTTGTTTTTAATTGGGCCATGCTCATATTTCTGCCATCTCTTTCCATGTCATTTGAGCTGAAAAGCAATCCTTCACAAATGCTGGAAAGTTTCCTTCTCCTTCCCCAATGCACCCTAACTGTTGACAAGTTTGCTTGCATTTGCTTAGGCAGGGGGTTGCTCCTCTGATATTGTAAATCTGGTGAGAGAAGTGCCATCTCAAATTCAACACAACAAAAGAGAACTTGATATCCTGAAAAAGTTCCTTCATCCATCAGGTATTCTGAGATATGATCTTTCTTTGTCTTTTTTGGCAGGTCAGAAGAAGGCCCCGTACAAAATATACTTAATAGACAGCCCAGTTTGTGCGCTCTGACTCATCCAGGAATCCTCTCAAGTTTCAAAGAAAGTTTCCAAACCTGAATACCTGCTGCAGGTTCTCTCATAGAGGTTGGGAGTAAAAATTTCATTATTGCTGTCAATTTAGGAGAGAATTCTCTTTTCTCCCAGAACTTTCTACATATTAACAACAATGAGGGAGGGAGGGAGCGCCAGCCAGCCATTGCTAAAGATGGTGGGGAAAGGTACTACTATCACCCAATAGCTAGCATCTCAAGATTAAACAACTGCTTCGGGGCTTCAGAACTTAATTTGAAA